CATGTGGTATTAAAACATAGTATTAACTTAATGAAAGCTTAGAGTTATTCCAATACCAATAACAGTATCAGAAATTCAGGCTAAAATGTTGTATTGGTAAGTATGCAGTTAATTTGATCATTTAACCTTTCAATTTGTGTAAGCTACACTGGAACCACAGCAACAACCAGTGTTCCTTTCTATCGGATCCGTATCCTGGCTTTATTGGTACTGACATTTGCAAACGCGTACTTCTAGTGCTTAAACACTTTTTTCTTCCTGACAAAGCTGTTATGTAACAAATATTCTGCAGGAACAGGAAACAGGAAAGTTGGTCAACATTAGCTGTAAGCGGTCGGTGCTGCTTGGGTTAATAAAGGAGTTAACAAAGGACTTAGGTTACATTATGATGCGTTCAAGGTAAACCGAAAGTTGGTTTTTAGACAAGGGTGTTAGAATGGTGACTTTAAACTAGAGAATGAGTCTAAATATTAAAGTAATTCAGGTTGAGTTATTAGCAGAGAGGTTGTCCTTTTCACTTTGGGTGTGACAGGAATTTGGAAAATAAAGTAGAGGATAGGGACACAGAGTACAGTCCGAGTGATATTCTTTTAAGGAGCTTTTGATGTGGATGACCAGGGAGCCTCTGGAGGTTCACACGCTGCTGGAAGGATTTGTCATCGTGAATGTCGACTCATGTAAGCAACGGTCACTGAAGGACATTTCAGGTTCATCGACTCAAACGGCAAAACCTCCTGCGTGCACACTGTCCACATGGCCATGAAAGTTAAATATAAACTGTTTTATCTGAGATGGTGCTTATTAAAATGCCAAACCCTTGAAGTGAGTTTTATTCTGAGATGTACAGAGACAAAACCGCTTTGAATAAATTACATTTCACGCGGTACGTAGATGTAATCTTATGCAATACGTTGAATTTCTATTTTTTAAGCTTTGTTTTCCTGAAATTACACAGTCAGAGAACTATATTACGAATGGATATCAAGGGTTTAAGACATTCTTAGTATGAACAGAAAATACTGAAACTGACCTATCCTTTCCAATTACTCTGCAAACATGATTTACTACTAAAAAAAAACCCTTTTTTTCACACAGTCAGCTTTGTGCTCCATCTGCAAAAAGTAAAGCACTTAAACGTAATAACACTGGCGTGTTTGTGTATGCAATCACAAAGATTATAATTACTTTGAATCACATAGTGTAAATATATCAGGAAGCAACAGATTTACAAGACAAACATCTCAAATACACACTTTTCTTTCCAACAGCATGCAAACAGAGGTTAAAAAAGTCACACCTCTCTGGGAGTTTGCAAATGAGCTGTCGGAGAATCCTCACAGAGGTGTCAAATACGGGCTGTTTTTACCAAACAAAAACTTCATAAAAATATCAAGTTGGGTCTGAAATGCATTTGCAAGTGCAATATTTCTTTAGTTGTGTCTCATTGATGAAGTTAGAGGGAAAAGAACATTTGCTGGCGTTGATCTTTGTAGTTTTGTAGAGAACAATGATAAACCCAAATCTAATAGAAATATGACGTCAAGCAGATTGCTTAAACTATAACGACATAACTTTGCACACCAGTATGGAAAGGCCTAGACCTAAACAAACATCCCTTAAGCACATAACAAATTCTCACATTCTCCTAAAAGAACCAAAATATGAAGCTTAAACACACTAGGGGGATTGTGGACCCAGAACTCCAAATTGTCACCATATGTGTTTAGCCAAATGAGGCAAGTTCAAAAGATTAAATAAAACAAAAATATAACAAGAAAATGAATACATTTATGAATATGGAATCAGGACAATTTTTGTATATGAAATGACTTCAATGATTATCAACACACCTACAAATTGATTTACTTTGTTAGCTAATTGATTGGTTAACTATGGAAGCCCATTTCCAAAAAAAGAATTGATGATGACAAAATTGAAATTATAATTTGGACTTTTTATCTCATAATTTCGACTTTCTAACCTTTTTTTTTTGTGGTGGAAATTGGCTTCCATTGGCATGAGAGGTTAGGTCAGTTGTTGGCCTTGAGTGCAGTACTTTAGTAAATTTATTAGATTTCATTAAACCACTGTTAACAACCACTGTTAACAACCACTGTATTTTTTCAACAGCAGAAATGGGCAGTTTAGATGTATGTTACCATGGATGGTTTAAAGGAGAGAAGCTGGCTAAACACCAGACAAAGCACACAAGAACCATGGACATGGTGGAGACTAGGGCTTTTTCGCAAATATTACAAAAAAATCATATTCATAAATATTCAAAGAAAATTTGCATATTAAGTCATAGATTATTAAGTAACCTTAAGTGTGTTTCACTAATAATAATATTTGATGTTTTAATCTTATTTTGTTTGGTGTTTTAGCTCTCCAAGGTGGATTTATTTGAGCTGCAATGCTTTCTAGCGAAACCAACCACAGTGTATCTGTAGCACATTAATCATGGTCAGTCACAGATTTCACCCAAGTGTACGGGTGAGCTTATCACATGTGGACGGCTCCCTCACCTCAGGCCTGGGGGGTTTTTCCGATAATCCTGGCCGACGATTGATCCAAGCATCATACTGCTGCAATGTTGCCACTGTGGGTCTGTGACCTTTGACCTTAGGTCACTGCTTCTGGTCTTACTTGACAGATTTTCAAAAGCCTGCTAGATGGATGTGCATCAGAGGAAATGCACAAGTCAGTATGTAGGGGAGTCTTTTTTTCCCAACAATAAATACTCCATCTGCATATTTCTGATTCTATGAAGTGCAGCTGTTGCGTCAGAGAAGCAAACGGGCTCAGAGGGACAACCAGAGAAGCATATGACATTGAGTTGTGCACTACAACTCATCGAGTCTGTAATCCAAGACATAGACGCTTAGGAAGACAGATGGGAGAAATCCGAGAAATAAAGCCGTCATCTGTAATATCTGTAATCTACAAGCGTTTTTATCAACCCAAACACAAAGCTTCTTATGGAAAATACTGCTGCAGTAGAGTATCAAGCAAGCCTCTCTCATTTGATGACTAATTTGTGTCTAGGTCTTTCTTTTTTGTATTTACTAAGCTGATCTTGCAAAAATAAAAAAGGACACAATCATTTTACATCTTTGCAGCTGTTCCAGTTTGTTGCAGGTAAGTGGATTTACATCATGACTCACTGTTAATGCCTTTTGCTTTGGAGGGATGGGTAGAGCTGCCTGTGAGTAGTACAAGATTAGACTTTGGATAATCCGGGACGGAACATACAAGAAGGCCCAAAGCGTAACTATTGCATATGCGGCATCAATAACACTCTCACCGGGGATTCTGTGCAAGAAAATAAAACAACCAGTTGAAGGGGTTTAAGTTATGTTTTTACTACAATAATTACAAAGTAAAGTTTTTCCTAAACAAAACTGTTTCAGCTACTAATTTCCCTCATACGTGCACAGTAAATTTCATTAGTACCAAAAGTCCTGCCGTACAGCTCAGATGTCTCCTACACATGTACATTTCTTTCAATCCAGTGGGACAAAGATTCACCAACTCTGTCACAACCCCGCCCTGCTTCAGTTCTCTCATTGTGAGGCAGTATGAAGAACGACAACATGGCACCGCTTCATAAACCGCAGCTCCTCTTTGATGTATTCTTTTTCATGGGCGAGGAAAACCTCACGGGTTGGGCCTTTCTCCGCCCTCACCGCCATCTCCTCCTTCTCCACCTCCTCCTTCAACCCAGCTGCCATCTGACTTCCAGCACACTTTTACCACGGTTTGGGAGAGCTACGCACAAACTATGCAGGAACGGCACTAATGCGCGCACAGGGTGTTTGAGAATGAAACTGTACCTGCAAATCATTTACTCGCCGAGGGTCTTTTGCAAGAGTGCAAAGCCAAAGGGCAGCCCCATGTCCGCTGAGCGGCCCGACACTCTGCCCTACGTGGGAAACGTGGAGCTTGCTAATCTGTAATTAGATGTTACTATTTTCATCCTGCATTGCCTTGATGCAGCACAGGGTTGTACAGCAAGCGCCAGAAAAGTTTGAGGCTATCTTTTGAGTCTTAAACAATTCAACTTCATCCACAAACATTCTGTAGTCTTAGGAGTGACAGGGTGGACTGTCCTGACTAGAGGACCTGTCCCTGAAATGAATGATCGCTCTCACAGAAGGGAAACTTGAAAACAGTTCTCCTGAATGGAAAAACAAGCTGGGGTCTTTTCAAGGATCTTGGCAATTTCCTCAAAAGGAGGACAGAAGAAAAGTCCCACTGTACTCTTAAAGCAGATGTTGTTTTTAAAGGATTTTAAAGGATAATAATTTCAAGAGATTTCAGGAAGACTTTGGCCAACCATTGTGGACTAAGTGAAAAACGTTACTGTCCTCCCGAGGGACCTCTCAGGGACTTTGCCGTTGAAAGCTAATATTCCTCTTCCTTAAATCACGCTGCATTGAACATTCAAACATTCAAACTGCAAGCTTATGCAAACTCCTGGCACCGCTTCAAAGCCGGTCTGGTGTCTGCCTCACTTCCTCTGCTCCTTCACTTCTCTCCATCTCGAGCGGCGTTGGAGCAAAATGTACAAATGAAGCAGGTCAGAAACTGGTTGCAATTCTTACTTTACTTGTTCTTAGTTTACTTAAGTTGGTGAAATGGGAAAAAAAGGGTTGGCGTATGTTGAGTCATCAGATTGTACGTAAACTCAACTCGGTTACAGGTCGTGCACTGCACGCATCAACCTTTTACCTCTTCAAACCGAAGAGTTGAAAACAGCATCGCGGAGTACGAGTGTAGGATCGATAGCTTGACTTAAACTAGGGACTGAAAGCCAAGGTGATTTAAACCTGGCTGCTCAGATTTGACCGCTGTTCAGATTCTGACCCTTTAGAAAGTGTAAGTACAACACTAAATCAACAAAGTTAACCCTAACCCCTTAAAGACAATTCCAGAGCCATATGATATCATAACCAGGGCAACCTGTAGTTTAAGACTGCACAATATGAAACACAAATAGGTAAAACAACTATAATATATGGTATTTTATTTCAATTAAGAAAATGACAAGCACTCATCAATCAACATATTAAAACGTTTTTGCCATCTGTTCAAACTCACACGACGGCTCCTTAAAATAAATACTTTTAAGAGGAAATAATACAGACAGAATATGTGAGGCTCAAACCACAAGTACAAATTATCCAAATGTCAAAAGAGACGAAAGGGTCTAAAATTCCCAAAGTCAACCCCGACTCTCCAACGAAAAGTGTTTGTATAAAACAGCAAAGTGTTTTTAAAAATACAGAGTCTTACAAAAAAGTTTTTTATCTTCTCACCTCTTTAAATCACTGTAAAATATCAGCTGGCATTATGACAAGAAATCAGGAGTTTTTTCATGTACAACAGAATGTGCTTCTGCATTTTTACAATTAGTATTCACATACGTCATGAGTATTACTGTATCACCAAAGTCCTCCACCGCTGTGATGGTGCTGTGATGGAGACTCCCTCCGATTGCTCCCCTGTCACATGTGGGTGCCGAGCGGAATAGGTAGACACCCCGGTGACCGTGGTAACGACCAAAGGTGTAGTCAGTTCCGAACCATCATTTCAAACAGTACACCACCCATACAGAGGCTTTGTAAAACAATACACTTCACAGCCAAGTGTTCATGTATTTATAGGTTATTACCAACAGCGTTCACATTTTTCTGTATATAAAAAAACAACAACAAAAAAAACATTTTGACAATTAGTCAACTTTCAGACGGTCCAAAAAAAGAGACGAAATAGCCATCAACGGGAGAGGACTTCAAGAATACAGGTTACAGTACAAAAATGTGGTCCAGGTTGTAGCACATGAAGCATGCACGTGTTTATGTTGCCCTGCTCACCCCCAAAACCCTCATGCGAAGACATACTGTATAAAAAGGCCACATGGCTTTTTCTTCACTATTAAATGCAAGTTGTTGCCTCTTTGTCTGCTCTGCTCATCTTAAGACCGGCGAAAGGTGCATTTCTTCTTTCGTATTGGTGGAGTCCACAAGAGACACGCAGCCTCAAAGGGTCACTACAAAGTGTGTGTTTGGTACATGAGCATGCCCCTGAAGCTATTCACGACTGGGTCGCACTACTGACAAACACAAGTCACGGACAGCTACTGTAGAGGAGATAGATATGTAGCTTTAATGTTGTCAGGTAAAACACCTGTCCACTCGAAATAATTCAGTTAAATAGCTTGGTCGATCATGACAGTTTCCAACATTGGTCAGGCTTTTGTCAGTATTAAGAGAGGCAGGTTATATTTATTTTATTTGTTATAACTAATATTCTCAAGGAATAGTTTGACATTTTGGAAAATTTGTTTATTGGTTATTTTTGCTTTGTCGGAAGATAAATACCACTCTCCCGTTGTTTTTAAGAATCCTCTTTCCATAGCAGCCTAGCGGCTAGCCTAGCATTAGGACTGTGACCATGAGGCCTCGCATATTCTGGTTCTGATCAAAAACGTTTGTGTGGATTTAACAAATGACACATAAAGTGGATGATTAGTGAGCTTCGCGGATGCTGGTAGATGGATTGTTTTACATGTGGACAGAGCCACGCTGGCTGCTTCCCCTTGTTTGTCGTTTTTTTATGCTAAGCTAAGCTACATGGCTGCTGGTCACACAGATACGCGAGTGATATTGATCTTCTCAATCAACAGAACCAAAGTGTAATACCCTTCCTTTAAAACACAAAAATGACCAAGATTGAAGCTGCAAGTTTCTCACTAGAAAACATTGGTTTGATGTTTGTGTGTACACAGACTTCTTTCGGTTTCTTACCCAACAGCGTTGTGTTTGTTAACGGATCACTGGGGCTGTACTGTATAAGCACGTAAACAAAGGCGGTCGGGCTGGCGCATAAGTCTGCTCAGCTTTCACTCCAACAGCGAGTCTCTAACCAGAGTCTAACTTTCTCTCATCTCCCAAGTGCACTGGCTTAGTGAAGCCCTTCGCCGCCGTTGTTTTTTCATAACTCTTTAACATTTGTACTGCGGAAATAACAACAACAAAAATATAACTTAAGATAATCTCTCTAGGCACTGTTTGATTTCCAAGGCTTTTAGTTGTAGACTGTGATAAAAGGTCAGCAAACAGATTTAAAAAAAAAAAAAATAATGAAAAGAAACACCAGGGAGTGATGGTTCTGCAGACCAAACAATTTCTCCTCTGTGATGCATCAAGGTCCTCCGAGTCAGCTCACGCAGCCAGACGGACTCGCTCTGTGCTGGACAGGCCGTGAGGGTAGAAAGTATCTAAAGGGTAAAAGTTTTAGTTTCAAAGTTAAGCGTCACCCTCCTGTCTTCAACCTACGTTTCTCTTTTGTAAAAATTGTTAGCGAGTGTCAGATCTTAAGTCATTATCTTCTGGGGAATCTCTATAGAAGCCTTGATGAAGACGCAGTTGTCTCGGATGTAATTCCTCTTCTTGATCTCGTCGTGAGAGATGAACTTGGGGTAGCCGAAGCCCAGGGTGCTCTCGTCCAGCGAGTTGCGGCTGCTGCTGGGCTTCTGGAAGTTCTTCCAGTTGGGGTCGGGGTTGAAGGTCTCCGTGATGTGCTGGGGTTTGGAAAGCGACGGGTCGCTCTGGTCCAGGATGGAGAAAGTCACCTTGTAGGAGAAGGGCCACTCCAGCAAGCTGTCGTACTCTCCGGGTAACACGCGGATGTAGACGGAGAGGTGGGAGCCCTCGCCGCTCCCGTTGCCGTTCAGGAATGCCGACACCTGCAGCTTGTAGCCGTAGCGGTGAGTGTAGAAAGGCGGGCTGAAGAACTCGTGGTTGCTTCGGAGTTTGGCCTCCTGGAGTTTGCGCGAGTAGTCGCTGAGCTTCCAGATGAGAACCCCGTCGTGACTGACGGACAACTCCTCCATCTCCCTCCGCAGCTCCAGGATCTCCTGCCGCTGACGCCCCACCAGGTTACACATCATAGTCAGGTGAGACTTAGTGGTGTCTTCCAGGTGACGGCCGATCGCCAGTTTGGGGCACTGAGAAATCAAAGAGACTAATTATTAAAAGGCTGTTGCGCGGTGAGCGGGTGAGCATGTTAGTAACAACACATTTTGACCACATTGCGCTCTTTGTTTTTATTTGCCTCAGGATTTTATAAAAAGTAGCTGCACCTGCAATGATATTGAGGGCATTTCTCACACTTTTAAGACAGTGCTTTACTTCAGCTTCCCAACTACCATTGAGTCTCGTGTGGTGCAAGTTTACAATACAGGATAGTGAGATAAAAGCAACACACTTGCAACTAGTTTCACTGCCCGAAGAATCTGGTAAACACTCATGAAAAACTATGATTATTTATAGTTCATCGCTTAAATGTTTGCATTTGGGCACAGGGTAAAGTCCTGCTCCCTCTTTGTAGCATTGTAAATGATGTGATGTGTCTCTCTTTTTATTTGCCTGAACTATGACTTTGAGATGAAGGGAATCTATACATAATACAGCAAAAATGTGTATTCTGTTTGTATATGTTCAGTTTAGTGTGCATTATCTGAATATGGTGTTTGTTTACGTCCACAAAATGTCATAGATATACAAAGATGTGGGTAATGTTATATTTGAAAGTCACTCTACTCCTGTGTGTTTTTGCTTTGCATCTATAAATGTTGTACATCAAGAGAATGCGGGGAGAGTATGCCGCTCATCTGTCGCATTTTCTATAATTTATGTCAGTTTTAAAAATAGGTGGAAACGCACAGAAGAAGATAGTGTTGATCTCATTAAAATAGACCCTGCAGGCACAGTGCTGTATATTTCAAAAAGAAAAAAATCTGTTCTTTGCAAACAATGAGCAAAGACAAAAAAAACTTATACTAATAAACTAATAAAACAGTTGCTTAACTAATAATGGAGTGAATAATCGTTTAAGGTTAAATGCTGTCTTACTCTGTGTTTGCAGCCAGCGTCTTTGAAGGGGCAGAGAACGAGCGCGCTGCCACAGTTGTCCTTGACATGGTTAGCCAGATCCTCGCGGGCGATGTTGGGCGTGCCACACTGGTTTGGGCACTGGACAGGAAACCGAGGGCAGTGGTACTGGTGGTTCTGTATAGGATAGGATGGTGTTAATGTGTCCACTGCCGTCCAACAGGGTGAGTAATAAGAACATATGCTGCACGGTGGGGTTGCAGATTAATCGTTGCACAACGGAGAATGTCCTTGAAAGTGAAACAAAAATACTTGTGGTATTAAAAATGAGGAACATGGATCGTGCAGCCTGAAGCCAGAGAAAATGTATGACCATTCTCCCCAAAACATGCAAATTTGGCAATCAACCACGCTGAACCAATAAACTGATTGATAATTGTTCTGGCTGCTTTCTCCTTTTTAAAAAAAATACATTCAACTTGATATATATTTGTGCTTTTTTATTCTTGGCTGGACAAAATATGCAAATTGATCACCAACTTTTTATATTTTACAGAAAAAAGAATGAATCAAACAAATAATCTGTGGATCAATTAATAATGAAAACATGTCTGCTACTAATTAGTTTTATTTTCAGTACTTTTCAATTTTTTTTTGATTGATTGAATATTTATTTAAACTATACAATGTGTGCCTAGTTTTGTCATGTATACCATGTATGACAAGTGCAACAATAAGGACATGGGTCCCATTTAAGACTTGACTCACTGACTTTGTCATGCCAAAATATGAAGTCATTACACAAAAACCAGGACGCGAGGTACAGGTGGTAAACCATGCGTGGAACTGACCTGGATTGTGTCGAACACAAATTCTTTGCCACAGTACTTGCAGGGCTGTGTGCGTTTGGGACACTCGGCCAAGCCGTGTTGGGACAGCAGACGGCGCATCATTCTCGCCCCACACTTGTTCTCACAGTAAACACTCTCCTGAGGACACACGCCCTGGTGGTTCTGGGTTTGGGAAGAAACACGTGATTACAATTTCAAGAAGGGTTGAGGGGTCAACACATGTAAAGTAGGTGCTACTGTCGGCACAAATGCAGTATATATGTGTTTTTTACAGCTCAAAACTGTATTTTAATTAAGCAATGAGGTACGAGAGGCTGTACTGACCAACAATGTAACAGTTCGAGGGGGTTTTCAATTTCATTTAAGGTTGACTGATAGAATGTATGATTAATCCAGAAATGTAAAAAGTAAGCCGGTGTGTCATGGAAATGTCAAGTACAAATATTATCTAAATACTAAAATCGGACAATTTTTTGATCAGGCATGAATCATTAAAGTATTTTGCCTGACTACCAACCATTTTGTGGTTGTAGCGGTATAGTATAGTAGTATGTGAGGATTTGCTGCTTTCCCCTATGTTATGTCACTAAAATGAATATATTTGGGTTTGGAGAGAAGTCATCAAGGACCTTTGGAAATTTAAATGAATCTCATGATCTAAACAAACCATCCATCCATTGAAAAGGAATCTGCCGATGAATCATTAATAATTTTAAATAGTAAACATGTGTGAGTTATTCCAGCGTGAGAGCCAAAAGGTACATGAAGGTGTAACTGTGTGCAGAGGGGCGGCCACGGCGGGCCGGAGTAAACAGAGGAGGGGCGCTGGAAATGACAGAGGCGCTAGTGAGACTTTGCGCTACTTCAGCACGTTGGCTGAGGAAAAAACATTGAGCACGAGAGACCCACTCACTTTCCTTCTGCCAACACACGTGTTATTTCAACAGAGACCAAGCCGCGTGCATTAGTCTCTCCTGCAGCTTTAAACAGAGAGCTCTTTCACATGGACATGGAAATGATGTGGCATCACTCTGAGTTGTTTACGTCGAGCTCCCGCTGAGTTGCCACAGGAAAGAAAAATAGTAAAAACAGGTTTGCTGTCGGCGTTTACCTCGTAGGCTTCGCCGGTGAACTCGCTGCCACAGAACTCGCACTTGACTTTGCGCTTGGGGCAGTCGTGCTGCAGGTGGTCGGGCAAGTCGCGGCGCGTCAGCTTGACGGAGCAGCGGTTGGGGCAGGGTATCACATTGAAGGCGCAGGTGGAGAAGTGGCCCTGAGGGGGAGACGCGCCCACATAAAACACACGCATGTTAGGAAAGTACATGAGTCAAGAGGCAGCAGATAATAATAAAAAATAAAAAAGCCAGAAGATTGAGGGGAGACAGACGAGAGGGTGTCGAAGCTTCTCACCTGCAGCTGCTTCATCTGGCCGGTCCAGCGGCAGCCCTCCTCACTGTGGATGCAGCGGATGGGCAGAGCCAGGATCTGTTGCTCCAACTCTGGGTCTGGGTAGATCTGAGAGAAGATAAGCAGGACGAGGTCAGTGTAGCAGGTGGCAGGAGCGACCAGGCGATCAAATCAAAATGCTTCAGGTTTTGTATTTTTAACCTTTAAACGAACAAGAAAAATTGTGCAAGTGTCTGATCCTAACCCTGCTTTGAGCCTTTATGGTAAGCTGAGATAAACAAATCCTTCCATACTGCAGGTTAACACACACAGTTAAGATTTGTTCTTGGCTGGTGCCTGTCGGAAAAACCCGACAATGCTGAACCTTTATTATCTCAAGGAAAATCACCGTGCGGCATTATCAGCACTAAGTAGTGCGAATGGAAACTATCAATGAGGTGCAGATTTATGATATCGTAAACCCAATAATATGTTGGGCTACAGACACAAACACTTAATCTGTTGAGATCATCAAACTGCTGCAGTAAGAGTTTATGGGTTTATGGGACCTTTGAGAGATTGGAGCAAAGGAAAAGCAAAATAATTATTGCTCCGCAGTCACTGAGCAATGAGGATGAGTCAGTTTTCTACCCAAACACCCCAAATCCTTCCCTACAGTACGCTGTCCTGGGGATTTACAGCTCTGCTTTGCATGTCCATCCCCCCGCGCTGTCACACCAGCAGAGGACTGGTCAAACAGGACAAGCCACTTCCTCAAAATGCCACCACAGCCCTCCAAACAAACAGCAGCTCAGTAAAAGTCCAACTGTCCTCGCGTGCCGCTGCACCGAAACCTGGGAGCCATCGCCTTGACATTTAAATCTTATTTGTAAAAATAATGTACAGTCAAACACTAAACTCGCTCACTCTTTAGCTGCTGTGTGTGTGGGGGGGGGTAGATAGGCTTCTGTCAAGCTAAATGATTATATCAACCTGTTAAAAATAAACTAGAGACACAGATACAGTATATCGCACATTGGAGCAGATGTTTGACTAGCGGTACTTTGACAGTAGACGTTTTTGCTGCCATAATCACATTCTTTCAGCAAAGGCAAAGAGGGAGAAAAAAAATTCTCTAAAGCAAACTGAGACTCTCTCTCATTGTTCCAGTCTTGGAATCTGCAGGGAGATGGCAATGATGACCTTTTAATAACTCAGTCCCAGGCACGCCGGGGGGGGGGTTAAGCTCCCTTGAGCTCCCACTAGAGGGGTTATTCTGTCTGGGTTAGCAATTGTTAGTCGCAAACTACAAAAACTATTACTTCTACTAAGCAGCTGCAGCACAATCCTTTGACGGCAGCAGCGCTCTCGCGTTGCTTGAGCGAAGTTGTGTTTGCGCATGTTTTTTAAAGGACGGTGTGCAGCAAGCGCTACCCTGACAGTAGACCACCAAAGTCGGGGTCATTTTGCAGACTACTGGGAGCTTTGGTAAATAACAATGTCTGACAGGTGCGCCATGAGCACATCCTTCCCGGGGTGGGGGGGGGTCCCTGCTATTAGAGGCACCTTCATTGCTCTCAGCACAGCATGCCGACCGGCACTGCTGCAGCTCCGGGGTTAACGGCTCGGCGGCTAATTCGGGCTACTGGTAACTTACCGCATCGGAGGTTTTACATACAAGGGGCTTCTTTCAATCGATCCCTAAATCTGCACAGACTCTGGCGCGGTTTGATTAACTGCTTTTAAAAAAACAGTGTTCAGTTGTAATTTCTTTTATTCTGGGAGCGGTTTATTTAAGGGGGAAATCACAATTGTTGTATCATCTGAATGTTTTTCTTTCCTGTGTTGGCTTCCTGCACACTAAAACATGTACAGATTGTTCAAATTATCCGCTTATATAAATAAACTGTCATGAATTAGGGAACGGACCAACATGTACGCATATGCAACATATAGAAATATATGATGTTGTAATATGTGTCTCAATAAGGATAGGGTCTGCTAAAAGGTTGTGTTGCCCCTTTACTGTGTCTACATAGTGTCCTTGTTAAACAAATGAATATATAAATAAAATGGCCATAGGCCATGTTGGTTAGTCCATATTTTTAGGAGCGGACAGAAATATCTCTACAACTACTGGATGGATTAATATTCAACTTTCTGCAAATATTCATGATCTGCAGAGGGTAAATCCTATTGACTCCTATTGGTTTGTGTGTTTCATACATGGGTATTGTGAGAGTGGTAATCATACCTTGGCATAGTCCAACGGCAGCTGGTCCTCCGGACACTTGAAGACCCCCTCACTGCAACAAAACAACAGAAGAGCTTCGTTAATAGTAGAATCGCTAAAAAAGAGATGACTGTATACAGAACTGTTCAAAAAGAATGATTGAGGGATTGAGGAGATCTGTGGCTCTCAGCGGAGACAACTACTGTAATGGTCTGTAAGAGCGCCACAGCATTGACTTTAGCCTGTTTTTGTCTCTCCATCCACTCTCAAAACGAACCGGCCTCTGACTCATCACTCTGTCTGACGTAAACACACAATCCCATCTACACACACCGCACAATAAAGTCACATCTTTGAGATTCTGTCTTCAACAACATTGACTGTTTCATTCTCTCCCCCTCGGAGGAAACGTCTCACAGATTTATAGTACAACACACAGACCAAAATATGCTCTATTTATGATGCATATATAAATGATGACTTTACATCTACAATTATATATTCTCTCACAGCTGCAATTGAGTGTTACATTTTGCCCTCGCTATGCAGTCGAGACGAGAATAAAGCAGCGTTGGCCCTGCTTTCATGCTGAAGGCTCTTCCTCAGGAAAAAAGTCCTAATTTACTGATTCGCTAACACTTTATTTCAGGCCCCCCTCCCAACACACATTTTTGTGGCGCCACAGTGGAGTCCTCACTCGTCTGTTTGAGGGCCAGACGAGCGAGCGCCGCGGCTCATTAGGACATCCCTATTATATCCTGATGTCGTAATGAAATATTCACACTGGTAAATAATGGAGGCAGCAGCCACATGGGGGGAGCTGCTACACATCATCTAAGCTCGCACCCACCCAGACACACAAAGGTTGCTTAAAAAGAAACACACAAAAGGCGGATCTCTTGAGATGTCAGCGGCGTCATGACTGTCTGGAGCGCTCCCGCTGTTTCTGGAGGCGAGATGCTCTCACAGCTGATTGTCTCATTTCAACATTCATTAGTTCCACCTTCTCCAATACGCTGCTCGTTTTATGTTTTGTGTTTGTAAACCCCTTTGCTTTGTGATCTGTTGATCACGAAAAAGAAGAACAGAATATTTTGCTTTAAAGATGCAACTTTGTGACTGTGGGAAACTGGAAGGCGTTTTTACCAACAGATTGGTTGCTTAAATCGGCTGATAAGGCAAAAACTTTTAGCTGCAGCCCCAGTGTTTGTTTGTTTTTCAATCTAGTGAAAATTGCGACAACAAAGATGCACAGCATTGTGCTTTTGATCAAAAGTCACTTGCCCTGAAGCTTGATCTGACCTACCGTGCAAAGAGGCCTTTGGTAACCCTGGCCATGACTAAATTATGTTAAAACTAATTAAGGAACAACAGTGCGCAAACGTCCACCAATTCTCTCCCGGCGCTTCAATGTGTTTGGCTGCAGTGTCACGTGACCGCGCAGCTCCCAGAGGCACAGCGGCATGTGACAGGACGGGAGTGCACTTTGCTCCGTCTACCCAGCTGCTATGAAACAAGGGAGCGTGCTGCCGGGGGGGAGGGTGCGGGTGACAGAGGTTAGGCCTCAGTGGGAGGGTTGATGAAAAAAAGGGGGTGGAGAGGGAAGGGGAGGGGCTGGGGAAGGGGGAGGGGGTTAATGCATGACGAGACAGCAGTAATACTCCATTAGGGTCACTGCGCCTGCATGAGAGCTGGGAGTCCAATTAAACAACCCACAGAGGACTGTAAAAGAGGGTCAATCGATTAGACGCTAGAACCGCCCAGTCAGCATCTCACGCGCAGTGTGAAACCATTTACAGCGCTCATCGCCCGGCGCCCGCGACTCCTCCGGAAGTGTAGAGAGCACCGTGACCACATGCGAGAGGAGATGGGAAGCGACAGGCACTCAGCTCCGGACAGTGGGACGGCCGGAGGCCCCCGTCCGACTCGCCCCCCCCGTATCTGACACACAGAGAGGCAGACAGGCGAAAAGAGCCGAGTCACAGGCTGTCAGGACGATTCCTCCCGCGGTCGCAAAGAAGCTCCTGCAGCCACACATTCTGGCGGTGGGGCCCCACTGCTGATAATGCCGCTTGAGTCTCCTGGTCGCTCGTGAGTCCAACTCTCTGCCGCTTTGTGACAGCACATTAGCAGCGAAAGGTTCGGCCGATGTGCAGCTCCAGTTCAATTACATCCATCTTCTCTGACTGCTGAGGGCTTTCGAGAAGAGACGGGAAAGCAGCATGACCAAAAACACTGAAGATGACAAATAGGGATCCATAATGAATACTGGAAGCCCAACAGAATGCGTGGCATTTTTACACCAGGTTCTTTGTATCAGCTAATGCAGTCATTGAAGGAGAAACGTGTATGCTTCACATACACATCTTTGGAGGAGGGGAACTTGCACCTCACGAACAGCCGGGCTTTTTTTATACCGACGGGTGTTTGTTTCCGACCGCGGTTCACACCCTTGTCAGGGAAAATCCAGGGTGCGAGGCCGATAAACAAGTGTTTCAGGGTCACGTCGGGATGTCACTGGGGAGCGGCTTAAGACCGGTCAGCAGACTGACTATAATACAATCACCTCATTAAAATTTCATCGCGCCCCCTCTGTCTGCACGTACTGCCGAGAGCAGCCGAGGCTCCCCAGCTGCTCTGCTGCAGAGACGATCGTGTTTAAATCACCTCAGATTCACTGTCAGACAATGGCGCGCACACATTATCCCTTTGTGTTTGCATTCAAACCCTCTGCAGGTGAAATACACCCACTAGTCAAACCCTTCCTCTCCTCTTTTTGCCCCATCCGCCCAAATCTCCTTTTCAGGCCCAGATTAAACAGCCGTCCATTCATCCGGGCGGTACCACAAGGACAGCCGTCACAACGTGCTGCGTCACTCCGCGCGCGCGCCTCCCGACAGGCAGACGGTGAGAAGTACAAATCGCTCAGGTTTAATCTCACCGGAGCGGAGGGTTTATTTTTTTTTTCAAACGGCGGCGAACAGTGCGGGCCGCACGGAGCGAGCGTCGCTGGGGACGGTGACCTTGAAAGCGGTTCTATATTAACTAACTGAGGGACTCCTAAACAAACCGCGCTGTGTTTGCCATCGTAGAGGGCAGGGCTGTGGAGACATGCTAAACAAACCAGATGGAAAGCATGGGGCCGTTGGAGGGGACAAGTCTGTGGCACATTAACACGCCAAACAGACCTCTGTCTCATGAGGTATTTTCTCAGATAGAATCAAGGACCCTCGTCTGAACTGCCTGCCTGCTCCCACTGGAACTCACCACCAGCTTTTATGTTGATCCTTGCTCTAAGACCTTTTTGTCTCTTCAAGTTATGGCCTGGATTAACATTAATATGCACAAACAAAATCTTGAATTCCACCAGAGTCCTCTGTTTGGACTGTCGAGCTCACGGAGGAAACTAGACTCCTCGATTCTTCAGTCAGGAAGTTGAAGAGAAAAAAGGAATATAGTTTTATTTCATATAGAGTTACTATAATCCCCCCAAATCCATCGTGTTTTCAGTTTGTGTGTTTAAGACTCAGTCCAGTCATGACTTCTTTCTTTTGAGCCTCCGAATGTGAACTATATAGAGACATTGCACAGTGATATTCTTTCACCGTATCTTTCTATCAATTAATCTTGAAGTTTTGGCAAGAAAATGTTTTATTACTGAAAATATCGCATTTTTCAGCTTCTCAAATGCTTTCCCTTGGCTTACATTATAGTTTGGATGTAGTTTTTTTGTTAATCTATCAATCACAGGGTGTTTTTTCTTTATTTATTATTCGCTGACGCCCTACATTTGGGGTTTATGGGGACATGCCAAAGAAATTCAGCAACACCTTTAAAATGAGTGAGGTTCAGACGTGCTGTTAGGCTGATTAAGTTTCCTTTGGGCAGAGCTAGCTGTTTCCCCGTTTCCTGTTTTCTTTATGCTATGCTAAGTTAAGCACTTGCTGGCTGCAGCCTCATATTTACTGGATACCAATTCCACTCACTTTTATTCTCTGCCCTCAAAGTAAACTCAAAGTAGACCAATTAAACAGGCATATAGTCAAAGTAAGCAGTAAGCAGCAAGTACTGATATTAAATGATGAACTATGTGAGACTGGACAGCTTCTGACACTTTACAGAAACTTCCCAAAGGGGAAACCAATGTCTTCTCCACAGATTTAATATATTATTTTTATGTTTTTCAGCGGTCTCTGAAGCTGTCTCACCGCAACACCACACTTTGCTGTCATTTTTTACATATGAAAATTAGGAATCTGTCAGGGATTTTTTTTGTTGCTCAGAGGACCAACATAATTAGCATACTGTCATCTTTCTGTATATATATATTTACATTTTGTCATTTGCAAAATTCGGGCTGTGTTACATCTTAAACCAACTGACAATCCGTCATTGAACCTACACGTTCTTGCTACCTGGACTTTAAAGCTGCAGAAGTTGTTTTCAGCGTGCAGACGCCCTTCCTCTCATCCTCTATAGCTGGATTAACTTGAGCAGTCTGTGCCGACTAAAGTGGCTCCCAAACGGGGTCGAGTGACGGGGGCCGAGGCCGGGTGGCGTTTCCACTGCTGCAACCTGATACGACGCGAGCGCAGAGCTCCCTTCGCCCACGGCTGATTTGGCTCTTGTTTGTCTGCAGCGGGAGGAGCGGCTCCTACTTTCACAGAGAGTGATGACAAAGGTGGATCGACTGGTCCGTCTCAGGCTTTCTGTGTGGGACTTTCACAGAGTGGTGCCCCGACAGCATCTTGTGTGGGATTTAATGCCGACAGGATAAGCTGTCTATACCTGTGGTTTTCAAGGATACACGATATTGTGAAAAAGGCTCTGAAGTTTGAGACAAACAAATATCTACCTCTAAATTCATCAAAAGGTCCATAACAATGGCTAACATGCTGTAGAAAACTACCATTATTCCAATTTTGGCAAGGAGATGAAATGACTTCAACTTCAATATAAACTATGTTTATAATTCCAACATTCTCTGGTTTAAGCTTAACTTACATGTTGAATATCGTAGTTGTATATCAGTAATATTTATATTAAGCCAACTGATGATGTCACTTGGGCTCT